TAAGCTGCGGCCTCGAAGAGAAATCTCACATCCTCTAGCCCCACGTAATCGATCTCTGCCCGTCTCCTGCAGTACCTAATCAGATCGATTGGCCTTAGATAGTCCACCCAGCTAGTAACGCCTATGATGTCGTCAAGCGTCTCTCTACTGGGCGGCCCCCACCTCACACAAATGGCGTAGTATACTTCCTTGAAGCGGGGCGCTAAGCCCTCCCAGAGCGCGTAAAGTGTGTGGTCCACTGCTCTACTCAAACGATCCACGCTCCCATAGGTCTGCCCTATCACGAAGGTAGGAAGTCCGAATCGCCAATCCTCTCTCTGGTAAAGGGTCGATGTGGTGGACCGTATACCGAGCAGCTCCAACTCGTCCTCCCTCCAGAGAGTCTCGCCAGTTGCTGATTAACGATCACTCTGGCCAACGACTCGCTTCTCCTCCAACTCCTGCTTGCCCCTGCGAGCGTCAGTCTTATCTCTAAATCGTGTGCTCTATCCGCTATCAGATGTCCGATCCCTTCTAGATCATGAGTCCTCTCGGGTCGTTCGTCTCGTAGTGTCACTGTCCAAAGCAAGAGCCCCTCTGCGAGCCACGTTCCCAAGTATCGTATCGGTACACGCCCTGCTTCTTCTAACGCCACGGGAAGTGGTATGTCGTATCCAACCGCCGTCTCTCTGGGTCCCACAAGCTTCCTCACACTATACGATTCGGACTCTCGTGAGAGAACATAAGCTAACCAGGCCACTGAATCACTCCTCATCTCTTCTCCTACTCTCGGTCAGCATCACTCTACTCCCTCCGATGCATCCCATCTCCCGACGTTGCTAACCCTTCAGACAACTCTCGCACTCAGGTCAAGTATGGTCGAGTAGGATCAGTAGCTAAGCTCACTCAACCGTCGCCCTAATGTACTCCTCTACCTCCCTACGCCCTGGCTGCTACTCCTATCCTGGGAAAATGGGCGTCTATAACGTAAATCTCCTCCTCGTCAACCTCACTCTCTAGGTCGACCCAGTCTGGCTCCCAGGCGTCCTCGTCGTCCTCTCGCTCCCAACCCTCGTCGTCAAACTCGTCCTCGACGCGGTATGGCGACTGTCCTATACCCGGGTAGTATTCCGCCAACTGATGGCCGTATATCAGAGGTCGCCCGGCGTTCTCACCCCACCAGCTCTCCCAGTCGTCTGAGAAGAGCCGCCCGATGCAGGTCACGTACTCGGGGCCTGCTCGGAGCTCACGGTCTAGCCAATCCCAAACGCACGGAGACTGGGCCACTCGTCGTCTATCGAGCGGATCAGCTCTATAAGCTGAACCCTCTCGTCTCCCCAACGAGGCCCACCGGTTGC